TGTGTCACCAATCCCCCGTGTGTCACCAATCCCGTGTGTGTCACCAATCCCGTGTGTGCCACCAATCTCTTGTGTGTCACCAATCCCGTGTGTGTCACCAATCCCGTGTGTCACCAATCCCCCGTGTGTGTCACCAATCCCGTGTGTGACACCAATCCCCCGTGTGTGTCACCAATCCCGTGTGTGACACCAATCCCGTGTCTGTCACCAATCCCCGTGTGTGCCACCAATCCCCGTGTGTGCCACCAATCCCCCGTGTGTGACACCAATCCCCCGTGTGTGTCACCAATCCCCGTGTGTGTCACCAATCCCCGTGTGTGCCACCAATCCCCGTGTGTGTCACCAATCCCCCGTGTGTGCCACCAATCCCCGTGTGTGTCACCAATCCCCGTGTGTGTCACCAATCCCCCGTGTGCCACCAATCCCCGTGTGTGCGACCAATCCCGTGTGTCACCAATCCCCCGTGTGTGCCACCAATCCCCGTGTTTGTCACCAATCCCCGTGTGTCACCAATCCCCGTGTGTCACCAATCCCCCGTGTGTCACCCACCGGTGACAGTCGTGCCACACCCAGGCGTGCCGCCCGTTCTTGGGTCTGAAGTCGGACTGGCCGTTGTTGTGGATCTGGGAGGAGAAGCGCAGCAGGCGCCGGTAGCCCGAGGCCAGCGAGGTGTTGTGGGCTGAGCTGGCCAGGCAGTTCTCCTCCAGGGCACACTGCAGCAGGAACATGGGCCTGTCCTCCAGGTACGCCGTCTGCTCCACCAGCTCCGCGTTCAGCACCAGGTCAGGGGCGGCTGCGGTGGGGGATGCGGGGTTGGGATGAGATAAAGTCACCCCAAAGGTGTGACCATCACCCCCGAAGGTGTGACCATCACCCCGAAGGTGTGACCATCACCCCAAAAGTGTGACCATCACCCCAAAGGTGTGACCATCACCCCGAAGGTGTGACCATCACCCCAAGGTGGAGGGTGGGTTTGTTGCTGCGCTCCTCCAGCTCAGTGTGAATCAGGGAATGGGAAGGGGTTCTAAGGATCAGCCCCTTCCAGCCCCAACACCTCCCACTATCCCAGGGTTGCTCCAAGCCCTGTCCAACCTGGCCTAGGACATTTCTAGGGATGGGGCAGCCACAGCTTCTATAGAAAATCCATTCCAGCCCCTCCCCACCCTCCCAGGGAAGGGTTTCTCCTGAATAAGCAGTGTAATCCTACTCTGATTTGAGGGATAAAACCTGGCAGAGAACAGTTCACCATACAGGAATATGGAACTTAAATCCCATCCTGTCCAAGGGCAAGGACACCTTCCACAATCCCAGCTTGCTCCAAGCTGGCCTTGGACACTTCCAGGGAATTGGGCAGCCACAGCTCCTCTGGGAATTCCATCCCAGCCCCTCCTCACTCTCAAAGAGAACAATTTCTGCTGAATATCCCATTTAATTCTGCTCTGAGTTTGAGTAGGAAAAGCCTAGGGGAGGGAACCATTCATCATATGGGAATAGCTGACCTTAAATCCCATCCCATTATCCCATTATCCCATCGGGCAGGGACACCTCCCACAATCCCAGCTCGCTCCAAGCTGGCCCTGGACGCTCTGGGAGGAAGGATTTGCCCTCTCTGGAGGTTCCCAGGTCACCCCGTTCCTGCAGGTGGGCTCAGTCCCGGCTTGGTCACTCACTCTCCGAGCAGGACACGCCGGCCCCGAAGCGTCCCCCTCCCCTGGGGCAGGACACGCGGGCCCCGTCGTGCCGGCAGTGGGACAGGGACATCTCTGTCCCCGAGCACTTCACCCCGCTCATCACCACGTCGTCGGCGCTCACGTCCCCGTGCCAGTACCACGTTTCCTGGGCAAGAAAAAAAAACAAACAAACAACAAAAAAAAACTCCATGAAAAGGAATTTCACACGTTCCTCAGGTGTGAAATAGCTCCTAGGGGAGTATTTACTGGCCTAAAATGTGGATTGTCCCTCCAGGGAAGATCAGGGTAAGATCTCACATTATCCAGGAGGATCTTGCCAAAGGGTGCTGGAGCAGGGAACTCAGGGAAGCAGAAGTTTTGTCACCAAATCCTTAAAAACTTTGAATCCCATCCAGTCCCTCCACTGCCCTGGGCAGGGACACCTCTCACCACCCCAGGGTGCTCCAAGCTGGCCTTGGACACTTCCAGGGATCCAGAGGCAGCCACAGCTCCTCTGGGAATTCCATCCCAGGACCTCACCACTGTCCAGGGATGAGTTTATTCCCAATATCCCAACCTGACACTGGGACCTCACCACTGTCCCAGGGAAGAATTTATTCCAAATATTCCATCTAACCCTGCCCTCTGGCAGTGGGAAGCCATTCCCTGTGTCCCATCATTCCAGTTCAAGATGAAATTCCCTTTCCTCTCATCATCCCCCATGGGAATGACACAACATCAACTCCCAAACCCCAAAACCTGGGAGAAGACGAGAAAGAACCTAAAAAAAAATCCGATGATTTCTGTCCGTGCCCAAGCTGGGAGCAGTTTCCAGGAAAAGCAAGGCCCGGTGTCCCACGGCTCCCTTTGGCCTCGGCAGTTTGGGAAGGCTGGGAGCACACAGGGCTGCCCTGTTCTGCACACTGGGGCTTTATCCTCCCCGAGCTGGGGCAGCACAAGGGCCTTTTCTGTTCCAAATTCCAGCAGCCTCAGCTCAGGGGAAAAAAATGTCTTTTCCTCGCTGGACTCTCGGGGCTGTGTCAACAGAGCCAGGAAAGGGCTCAGGGATGTGGAGATGCTCAAATCACCGGATTTGATGGGGGGAAATCAGCTGGAGGAAGCAGTTGTGGGAGCAGGGAATGGCTCCAGCAGCAGGTGGGCAGCTCCAGCCTCCTCCCTGCTGGGTGTCCAAGCCCAGAGTGTCCCCTGAGGACCTGCAGAACGGTTTGGATCTGTGCAGGGTGGCAGAGATGATGGAATGGTTTGGATTGGAAAGGACCTTAAAGGTCATCCCGTGGGCAGGGACACTTTCCACCCTGCCAGGTTGATCCAAGTCCTGCCAACCTGTCCTGGGACACTCCCAGGGGTGGGGCAGAACTGAGGGGTCATTCCTGGCCCTGCAGGAGCCAGAAGGGTTTGGGGCAGGAGAGGGGCAGGGAAAGAAACAATTGATGGAGCTGGATCCAGCCCCGCTGCTCAGGGCTGCACTGGAGCAGCTGCAGGAGCAAAATCCCAATTTTTGGGGTGACCTGACACCAGTTTGAACCTGAGCTCTGCATTTCAGGGAGGGACAAGAAGCTGCAGGCAGCCCCCAGCCCAAGCAGGGATTGGGGAATGTTGGGAAACCTGAGCTGTGAGGAAACAACAGAGAACTCATGGAAGCAAAAGTTTTGTCACCAAATCCTTAAAAACCTTAAAGCTCATCCAGTCCCACCCCCAGCCATGGGCAGGGACACCTTCCACCATCCCAGGCTGCTCCAAGCTGGCCTTGGACACTTCCAGGGATCCAGGGGCAACCACAGCTCCTCTGGGAATTCCATCCCAGGGGAGAATTCATTCCAAATATTCCATCTGACCCTGCCCTCTGGCAGTGGGAAGCCATTCCCTGTGTGCCACCATTCCAGTTCCTGCTGAAGTTCATCCCCATCTCCTCCTGCTCCAAATCCCCACCTCCAGCCCTGCTGTGATTTCACCCTCAAGGTCATTCCAGCTCAACCCTTGAAGCTCCTTTTGGAATAACCCTTCCTCCACCCCAAACCCACCCAAAACCCCAAACAGACCCCAATTCCAAACCCACCCAAGCCCCAAACAGACCCAAACCCCAAACAGACCCCAATTCCAAACCCATCTCAACCTCAAATCCATCCCAAATCCATCCAAACCCCAAACCCACCCCAATTCCAAACCCACTCAAACCCCAAACACACCCAAACCCCAAATCCACCCAAACCCCAAACAGACCCCAATTCCAAACCTGCCCAAATCCACTCAAATCCACCCAAATCCCAAACTCACCCCAATTCCAAACCTGCCCAAACCCACTCAAACCTCAAACTCACCCCAAACCCANCTCAAATCCACCCAAATCCCAAACTCACCCCAATTCCAAACCTGCCCAAACCCACTCAAACCTCAAACTCACCCCAAACCCACCCTAATCCTAACCCACACCCCAATTCCAACCCCAACCCCAACCCCAACCCCAACCCCACCCATCCCCACGTGACGCCCAGGTAGGGCTGGCCCAGGGGCTCACCTGGAAGGCGTGGCTGGCAAAGCCCAGCCCCAGTTGCCTGCACACCACCATGGCCTCCACGGTGCCCCAGTTGTGGCTGCAGACCGTGCCCCACCTCAGGGTCCCGTTGTGCTCAGCCAGCACCTCCACACGACCCTCGTAGGGGTTGCGGCCCCCGCTCAGGCGAAGCTGCAGGACACAGACCCCGTAAATCCACGGAAAAAAATTCCAAGGAAAAGCACAACAGGTGGGGAAGAAGAAGGTTTTGCTTCCCCCCCCCCCCCAAAAAAAAATTTGGGGATCGTTGGAGATTCCCAGATGGAAGTGGCCCAGATTGAAAACTTACTAGTCGGCTTTCAATATGTGGGCAAGAATGTTTCTGGTGGTTTTGGAATGAAATTTTTAAATTTTCTTGGCATTCTTACAAAATGTGTTCTGAACAAATTAATATATTTTTTTCCCCAGTGTTTTTGGGATAAAATTTTAAATTTTTCTTGACATTCTCACAAAATGTGTTCTAAACAAATGAATATATTTTGCTTTAATAACACTGAAACAAGCACAGGAGAAAACTCCCCCTTTTAGCACAGAGATGGAGAAATCCCTCACAGACTGGCAGAAAGGAATTCTAACAAGGCTGGCTGAACACATTCCCAACCTTTGCTTAGGGAAAACGACTCAGGGCACTGGGGGTGTGGGATCTTGGAAACCATCTTTGTGTGGGATCACGAAAACCATCCTGGAATGGGGCAGGACTTGGGATCAGGAGGGGAAGGCACTGGAAAATCATCCTGGAATGGGGCAGCATTTGGAATTTCCTGGAGGCTCGAGTTCAGTTCTTCTCCCAGCTGGGCAGGGCATGGTGCAGCCAATCCCAGCAGCAAAATGGGTGAGACCCGTTGGCATTAACCCAAAACCATTCCCTGGGAAAGCTTCCCCTTCCCTGCTCCTCCAGACCTTGGGAAGGAGCACTCAGAGCAATCTGTGCCTGCTTCATGCAGTTATCACAGAACCACGGAATGGCTGGGTTGGAAAAGGTTGAAAATCGGGTTAAAAATCATCCAGTGCCACCCCCCACCACAGGCAGGGACCTTCCACCATCCCAGGCTGCCCCAAGCCCTGTCCAACCTCATTTGAGGGACTCTGCCATGCCCAGAGGAGCTCAAAACAGGGACACTCACCCTCACTTCCCCTCCTTTTATTTTAGGTACAACCTGAATTAAACGCTCACGGCTTGGTTGGAAATGATCCCTGCCCAAAATTCCTGCCCGAAATCCCCTCACACCTGGATCCCTCAGCTGCACACCTGGTTCTGGAAGCCCATGGCTGGCACGTTGCACCTCACAGCAGCATCTTCCTCGTGGTTGCAGCCCTGGGACTCGGTGTTGAACTTGCAATCCGTGACCGACTTCTCAAAGCCCGTGCAGTCGATCTCGTTCAGGTGGATGGGACCCATTCCTTGGGGAAAAGCAAGGGGGAAAAAAAGGAAAAAAAAATTCCTCTGTGTCCAACCCCAGCAGGTTGTGAAGGCCACAGTGACCTCCAGCATTCAAAAACTGGAAAAAAAATCTGATTTTTTTTCTAAAAATAAAAGGTCTGTGAGATTATTGTTAATGATTTCACTGTTAAATTTTTCTCTGCGACTCGAGCGTGCAAAAATCCCAGGAAAAGCCAAGTTTCCACTGTTCCATAATTTACAAAATTCAGCTGTAGGGATTCACAAATTGTGACCTCTTGGCTGGGCCCATCCAGGGCTAAAAAAAAAA